GAGGGCTCTGATTCTCAGGGGGGTGGTCATGACTAGCATTAGCACAGATGCCCTCCAGATATTGAGCTCTGAAACAAAGCTCTCTCACCTCCCACTCCATACCTGTGCGAAAGGAGACTTGCGGTCCTTGTCAGAGTCTCTGGCACCTGAGGCATTCTTTTTAAAGACCAGTGTCCATTGTACATTACCAGATAGATGTAAGAACCTCGGGCTTCATGTGGTCTAGGTGTTGCCCGCACCCCTGGGTGGCCTCAAGCAAGTGACTGCACTAATCAATTAGCAGTCCTTTTTCTTTTTTAAAAAAACCATGTTATTGGGGTCTCATACAACTCTTATCCCAATCCATCCATCCATCCATTGTGTCAAGCACATTTGAACATTTGTTGCCATCATCATTCTCAAAACATTTTCTTTCTACTTGAGCCCTTGGTATCAGCTCCTCATTTTTCCCCCTCCCTCTTCTACCCTCCTTCCCTCATGAACCCTTGATAATTTATACATTATTATTATTTTTTCATGTTTCCCTTCACTCACTTTTCTATTGTCTGTACCCCAGGGAGGGGATTATATGTAGATCATTCATTGTTATTGGTTCCCTCTTTCTCCTCCACCTTACCCTCCTGGTATAGCTACTCTCATTATTGGTCCTGAGAGGTTTATCTGTCCTGGATTCCCTGTGTTTCCAGCTCTCATCTGTGCCAGTGTACATGTTCTGGTCTAACCGGATTTGTAAGGTAGAATTGGGATCCTGATAGTGGGGGGTGAGGAAGCCTTAAAGAACTAGAGTAACCTTTCTAATGTTGCAACCCTTTAATGCAATTCCCTTTAATGCCGTTCCTCATCCCCCAACCATAAAATTATTTTCGTTGCTACTTCATAACTGTAATTTTGCTACTGTTATGAATTGGGCGACCCCTGTGAAAGGGTCATTTGACCCCCAAAGAGGTTGAGACCCACAAGTTGAGAACTGCTGAACTACAGGAAAGTTGTATGTTTCATCAGTGCTATAATGGATCCTGACTGGCTTGTCTCCTCCCTGCGACCCTTCTGTATGGGGTGTCCAGTTGCCTACAGATGGGCTTTAGGGCTCCATGATGCTCACCTTCCTGACATAATCGCCCAAAGACAAAGCAGATGCATAAGTAAATGTGGTGAAGAAAGCTGATGGTGCCTGGCTATCAAAAGATGTAGCATCTGGGGTCTTAAAGGCTTGAAGATAAACAAGCAAACAAGCAGCGGCCATCTAGCTGAGAAACAAAGCCCAAATGGAAGAAGCACACCAGCCTATGTGATCACGAGGTGTTGATGGAATCAGGTATCAGGCATCAAAGAACCGAAGATCATATCATTGCAAATGAGGGGAATGTGGAATGGGGACCCAAAGGCCATCTGTAGGCAATTGGACAGCAGTTCTTTTCCTCATGAAGAAATTGGCAACGTTAAAATCATGGTCTACAAGGCTCCCAACGTTTTGGCTCTGAGAGTCCAGGTGTTTAAAATCCTCCTCCTCCATAACTCTCCTTGAGTAGCCCCTGGGCTTGGTACTCATGGCCCTGGCTTACAGCGGTAGGCAAAGACTGTGTGCTGTGGGCACACGGGTGTAACTGTGTTTCGAGAGGGAGGGGACCTTCAAGAACCAGAGCCGAGTGCACTCACCTTCTTCTTTCCTTCAAGGGTCCATCTGCTTTGCAAACATGGCGATCGCCATGCTGGAGCCGGCCCTGCCCATCTGGATGATGGAGACCATGTGTTCCCACAAATGGCAGCTGGGTAAGGACTGCATGGGGGGGGGGCGGGTCCCTGCTAGTCTGCAGCATTTGTCCCCAGGAAGGGTCCCGTCAGGGTAACCCGGTCGAGCTTTGGTGTCAGAATGATAAATTGATTGGTGCTCAAGGCCACAGAGAGCTTGGGGTCTGCTTGGCTCTGGCTTTTGGGCTATTCCTGATGGACGCAGCAGGACTGTGGAGGCTTCAGACCTGGGCAGAAGTGAGGGCAAACACAGGAGGCATCTGCCCACATTGCTGACGTCGAATAGTTCTGCTCACTCTCCTTGGGCAGCAGAGAGGCTGGTGAAACATTTAGCTGGTGAAACCATTTCTCAGTGAGAAAAAGAACACATGCGTAGTACCCAAAAAGTACACAAATTGAGGAAGTGAAAATAAAAAAAACTCCCCCCTCTATCTGTCCCTTCCGCTGCCCTCCCATCAGTCTCTGTGACGGTCATTGTTAACGATCGTGTGGATCTTTCTCCGATGGTTCTGCCATTTATCAGCATCTCTCTCTCACCACTTCATAACAGCCCCACAGGATAAACCCAACCCACGTTGAATCTTGCCGCTTGAATCTTATGTGACCCCTGTTTTCCTCTCATGAAAAATTATTGAACTTTTATCCGTTCTCCACAACCAAGCTCACTGCCACTGAGTTGATGCCGAGTTTCTGAGACTGTAATTGTCGGAGTAGAAAGCCCCACACTTCTCCCGAGGAACGGCTGGTAAGATTGGGGACTGCTGACCTTGCAGTTAGCAGCCCAATGCGTAACCACCACGCCATTACGGTTCCTATTTTCATGAGAAGACCAACGCTCTCTGCTCCCTGTTTGCTCCCTTCCCCAAAGCTCCTCCTCTGATTTGGCCGTCATCAATCCTTTCAACGATTTCTTCTCGGTCTCTCAAGATCAGGGGCAGAGTCTTTGAATGGGTGGTTTTTGCAGTTTCTGCCGCTGGCATCCTCAGAAAGTGGATGAGAATTTGCTACTGCTGTTGCTCCACCTGAGGAAAATCGACCGGGCAACCAATGCCCTTGTGTGCTCCCTCTCTGACGCTGCTGACGGATGTTTTGGTTCGCACGGTATTCAGTACTGACGTATTCTGCGTACATAAATATTATTCGCAGTTTTCTTTTTTTTCTTTAACAGGTTTTTGTTTTTCTTGAAGTTTGTCATCGCTCTGCCATCTCACTTTCTCAGCTTTCTCTGTAGCATCGATGACAGCTGTGGCTGCTAGGTGCTGATGAGTTGGTTACAACTCAGATCAATTCAGTGTGCACCAGGAGGAAATGCTGCCTGGTCCCGCACCATCTTCACAACCACTTCACAACCAGTGCCTCTCAGTTCCTTGTTGCCACTCGGTCAGTTCATCTCATTGAGGCTCTTCCTCTGTATCCCTGACCCTCTCCTCCACCAAGCATAATGCTCTTCTCCAGTGGCTAGTTACTCCTAACGACTTGTCTAAAATATACTGAGAAAATCTCTTGCCTTCCTTACTGCTTAGAAGCATTCTGACTGTACTTTTGCGGGGGGGACAGATTTTTTTCATTCTTCACGAACATCATAATCCGAAGACATCCCTTCTTCCTGGGACTTCTTCATTCCTTGTGTATCGGTGAATCATACTGAGGTGGCGTGATTGTTGCTGTGATACTAGAAGCTATGTCACTGGTATTTCAAAAACCAGCAGAGTCACCCTGCCTGGGGAAGTTTCAGCAGAGATTCCAGACTAAGATAGATGAGGAAGACATTGGTCAGTGGAAACTTAAGGGATGCACCATTTATGACTATATCCTCTGACACGTCAGGCAGAGATGAAAGGTTCTCTACATTGGGTCAAGTACATCCGAAAACGGAACCGTTCTCTTTATTTGCTTACTTGGGGACATTCATCCTAGCTCACTCTTTCTTCCGGCTCTAGCTTCTCCTCTGGGCCACCCTGGGACTTTTCTCCCCCAAATCCTAGCATCTTCTCAGCCTCCCTTCCGTTCCCTGGAAGCTTCTTTGCTGAATTTCTCTTTCTTTGTTTACTCCCTCATTGTGCTGGGGCATGTCCTTCAGGAGCTTCTTAAATCAGGCTCCTGGAAGATTAGGCCCTCCGAGACCCGACATATCGATAAGCACCCTCAGCTTCACCTCGCCCCAGGCAGTCATACACAGCTTGGGTAGATAATCCTTGGTTGGAAATGGTTTTCTTTTAGAAGTTCGAAATGACTGCTCTACTGCCTTGTCACATCTGGGGTGGCTAAGGAGGTCGGTGTGGGTCTCACTCCCTACCTTCCCTAGGAGCTCACACCGCACCTTGTCCTGTCTGACTGATGGACATTCAAAATGAATGGCCATTCGCAGTGGGGCGATTTTCTTCCACTGGGCTGGTTGGCCCTTTCACTCGGGAAACCTCTTCTGTTCCCAGATTTATTGGCGATCTGTATGCATTTCCTTTACTGTGAATTTATTATGACTATACTTTGTCCTCCCCTGCTGCGGAGTTGCTTGCTCTTAACCTCTGGGTTTTGTGCACTTTACTTGCTGCTCCTTGGCACACATTCTCCCACTTTGTTGGGCACCTTTTTGACTTTATTGAGAATAGCGTCTGCCACTCGGGACAGTGGCAGTGCCAGGAGTACAAATCTGCAGTCCGCCTTTAAAGGGACTGGGATCTCAGCCCAAACTCACAAGAGCCGCTCCCATGCCGAGATGGGAGATGGTTTTGTAAACCACTCATGTTGCCTTCCAATAAGCGTATGCCTTGGGTTTACATTAAAAGTTCGAGTCTGCATGGGGTTTAGTGTTCTTCTTGTCCTCTGTGCCCAACCCGTGGTTCTAAGACCATTCCCCCTGTAGATCTCAGCTCTTGCCCCACTGGCTTCTGAGGCCACCTCCGTCACCCACTAAACCGCCAGGTTCTTGACCCTATTTCTGGGGTTTTCTTTTCTGTTCTGTGATCTGTTTGTCATTCTTGTGTCAAAATCCTCCAACCAAATGATTATCAATTTAGAATATTGCTTACTATCTGGAGGACTAGCCCCCTAGGGCCCCCCCGCACAGTTATTTATTACCGGTACACATACACACACCCCCATCCACACATCTATATATGCGGGCGCTTCAAACAAGAGTCATTCAGTGGAGATGGGGGATGACTGGGGCTGGGCTTGGGAGAGTTTCTTAGGCAGAAAATTGAGCTCTGACAATCAAGACACAGGAGGAAACCTAGGGCTTTAAAAGAACCACCAAGCAGGAGGTCTAGACTGTTTCTAACCCTGACTCTGTGCATAGCTGTTTGCAGGCTCCACCAACACCACTATTCACGCCGGCGGAAGCGGCTCTGTTCCTTCTCTCTGCTCCTGGCTCTGTGTTGGGTCTCCAGGCGTTGTCAGGAGGCGCCCGGGTCCAGGCGGGGCCTCCTCTGTCCAGTTGAACATGTGGAGTGAGCATGCTCCTGCGCAGACGTGCTTTTTGTTGTGTCCGATGTCTCCATCGAAACAGCGTCTGGTCTTAATTGGATGTGGCCAGGCCATGTGTGGCCGCTTTAACTCATTTGCCTCTTCCTCTCCAGATAGAGCCCTGGGGCTTACCTTCTGGAGCAGTTCTGCCCGTCAGAGCCCGGGCCCTCCAGGCAAGAGACAGCTGCCTAGATACTATCTGCAGATGATCTGCAGGGACTTATCACTGGGGCCAGATGCTCGCCTGTCCCTTCCCACCACAGGGGTTTCCTTCCGCCTGCCTCCCAGTTGGCCTTTTCTTTAGTACAGAGAATCTTATGTGGGTGCCTGCTCAGGTCTCAGCTGCAGCGAGAGGGCACGGGCTGGCCTGGCTGGGGTCTCGGCAGCTTGTGGGCTTTTCTCCTAGAGCCCACAGGCTGCTCCCAACCTGGTGAGAAGGGGCATATAGGTGACCTGGTGTGGAAGAGCCAGCCCCCCTGGAGGCAGGCCCCTGCTGTGGCCTCCGCCTGAGGGAGTCTCCCAAAGCCTGGGGATGGCCAGCAGGCCAGGGTGAAAAGCAGGTTGGGTAGGGGTTGCCTGGACTGGCAGGACAGAGGAATCCGTGTGGAAGAGCATTTGCAGATGTATCCTTAGGGGTGGCAGTGCTGAGTCACAGGTCCTTCTGTAACCGTTTGCTGGTTTTCAACGGCAGGATGTAGTTAATCTCGTTGAGATGCATTAAGAACAATCAGGATTGAAGAGAAAGCGATTTTTACCACTCACAGGCAAAGCCCAGGATCCAATCTGGCATATCCAATTTGAAGAAAAACAACAACTGAATGTACTGAAGAGTTTGAAAAGCCGTCTTTTGTAAGCAATTGCCCTAGTGATGTTGTGGACAAGATAGTGTTGATGTGGACACATTCACTTGTGGCCTCACCTGGTCAGACTCATGAAGTCTTTGTGTTTGTTTGATGAAGAAGCATCCCATGGGCACCTCTGAGCTAGAAGTCAGCGCGGGCTCGTCAGAGGCCAGGCGATGCCAGCTCCCTCCCCGGAGAGTGCATGGTCCCTCGGACTGTAAGGGTCACCCAGAGAGGACTTGGCCACCAGCAAGACCGTGCAGACGTGTGTTCGTTTATACCAAGGAAAGAGGGTTACAGGGCTCACTGACAGGAGCAGACTGTAGACTTTCTTATGGGCCACTTAAATTTGTTCTTATTTTAAATATCTTCTGCTTTCTTTTTGATTGAGGTTTTTATCTGTTTTACCTTGTTATTCTAGTTAGTCTTTTGCTTGTTTGTTTTTGCATGTTTTTCTGTATATGAAATCCAGATTGGTGAATCTATGGAGAGAAAGACAGGATTAATAGTTCCTTGGGGGTCTGGCAGGGGAGGTTGGGGGGAAATGGAGAACTATTATTGAGTATAAGAATGAAGAAAATATGATGTAAGATATGAACATAATGATTTTTGATTTATCAAGGGTTCATGAGGGAGGGGAAAAAACAAGCTGATACCAAGGGCTCAAATTGAAAGAAAATAATTTGAAAATGATGATGGCAACATATGTACAAAAGTGCTTGACCCAATGGATGGATGGTGATAAGAGCTGTAAGAGCCCTCAATAAAATGATAAAAAAAAGAATTGAAGAAACTATTCTAAAAACGGATTGTGGCGATTGTACAATTCTTAATGGGATTGAGCAATTGAGCTGCACGATATGTGAGTGTTATATGCCAATAAAACTGTTGGGAAAAAATTAAACAGCAGGAGGAAGACCAGCAGGTGTGGCAGATGCCCTCCCTTCCCCTAGAAACTTCCCGGCGGAGAGAGTTGAGCACGGAGCTCATTGTACATAATGCTTCTGTGCACAGGACTGCTACCTGCCCAGGATGGCCCAGGAACAAATGACACCGTGTGTTGTCCCCTGGCGCGTGCATCCTCAGTGGTAGCTGTTTGGGACCCGGGGTAGAGCCGGTGGCCGGGCGGAGGTGGCAGCTAGATGAAGCAGCTGATAATAGACTCGGGTTTCATTTCTGGAGCGTCTCTGTGGCTCCTGGGCGGATGTGTCAGCCGAGAGGGGTTGGCGCTGCCGGATATTAGCTGCTCTGGTGCAGGCCCTCGAGCGGCTCTCGTCGGCGTGGTGGTGTCTACAATTATTAGTTTTTCGAACGTTTGGCTGATATCAGCACTGATAAGGCGTCCCTTTCATCAATTCACAGGCGTTGCTTTCTTGCCAGCCAGTGTCTCTTATCTCATCGGGACCAATATTTTTGGGATACTCGCTCACAAAATGGGGAGGTAAGATCAAATGAAAACTACACTCCTGTGTAGTTGTTACTGATGGGTGATGAGTCCACGCTGGGCCACAGCGCCCTCCTGTGATGAGGTGGACGGGCCTCTCCCTCAGGGGGTTCTAGGCTTTGACCTTCAGGGGAGCCGACTGCCAGGTCTTTCTCCCGCGGAGCCTCTGGGTTGCCTTTGACCCGCCAGCCTGCCCAGGTGAGCGCGGAGTGCTTTAGCACCGAGCCAACAGAGGTCCTAATAATGATGTACTTACTTGAGAGATGGGGGTGGGGTGGGGGTGGAGATGAAAAACCCACCCTAAGTGTTTCAGGCTCAGCTATTACAAAAACTTGTTTTGTTTTCCACTGACGTTTTGGATGGGGGGAAAATCCAACGATGACTCTTGATGGTGTTCTTCCTTTGATAGGTGGCTCTGTGCTCTGCTAGGGATGGTCATTGTCGGAATCAGCATTTTATGCGTGAGTAAAAGATGGCATCCGGCCATGGCACCCATCTGGGCCTATAACCGTTGCCCTGGCAGGAGTCACCCAAGGAACCCCTTGCAGCAGTTAGCAGTTGGCCATTGTTTAGTTTTGCTTCGTCTTTTTCTTTTTTTCTTCTCCTCCCCTCCCCCTCTCCTTCCCTCCCCCTTTTCTTCTTCTTCCCATATCATTCCGTAGTTCAGTCGCGGCAAGCAGAATGGTACAATTGCTACCACAATCAGTTTCCAAACATTCTTCTTCCTGGACTCCTTTACCCTGCCTCCTGACCATTATGTCCCACCCCGAAACCCTTATTCTATTTTCTGTCCCTGTAGGTTCATCAGTCCTGGGTTTGGTACCTTAAGGTACCAAAGCCCCTTAAAAACATGTAACACCACTTCATGAGGGTGACCTCCAAGGGTACAACACCTCTGACACACACCCTAATAGGAACCAATCAAGCCAAACACACAGAGACCGCTGAAGACCAGATCAGATCCAGCATGCAGCAGAGGGCGGATCAACTGACGAAGTTTTCACTGTTCCAGTCAGTTTACACCACGTCTTGCCCTTCCTTTGAATTCTTTTCCATCTCAAGGATGCTGGGAATTTCTCTCCAAGGCATCAATGTTCACTGTGTGTCAGATAGAAACTCTTTAGAATGTTGTAGCACACTTTTCATATTTAGCTTCCTTAAGAAGAAATTGTTTTAAGCAGTATAATGCCTTAGAGACTTTCAGATACCTAGCCTGTAACAATAAGAGGGTACTGTTCTAGAGCAGTGGTTCTCAACCTTCCTAATGCCGTGACCTTTCATACAGTTCCTCATGTTGTGGCGACTCCTCAACCATAATATTATTTTTGTTGCTACTTCATCACTGTCATTTTGCTACTGTTATGAAGCGGGCGGCCCCTGTGAAAGTGTCATTCAACCTCCAAAGGGGTTGTGACCCACAGGTTGAGGACCTCGGTTCTAGAACAAAGCAATGAC